TACAGAATCACCTAAATTAAGTGATTAATTCAGAATGGATCTTTTAAAAGACGAAAGTTTTATGAAGCATGAATCGATTACTTGTAGAAAAGTTTCATTTCGCTTTTGCCCTCAAATTACGAATGTCACAGCATATTGGTGCAATAAAGTTTAATATTTTGACAGCACGCGAAGAATTCCATTTCCTATTGAGATAGTGTTATTCCTATTTCTCATGTCATTGTGTACATGTTGTGTGTGTATGTGTGTGTGTATGTGTGTGTTTTCTTGACTGTTGGTCGTCAATATTTGTTTATTGTTGATTTCCGTTACTTCTTGATTAAATTTTCTTTTTATCATTCTATAGTTCAACGTTTCATTATTTGTTGTAATAGAAATATTCCTTTAGATCTAATTCTCCTCATGTCACTTTGCTATCGACGAGATAGATATTTGTTTTATTTTTGTTTATTTGAATCTTTTCACTTGCAAAAGATTCTTAAGTGCATAAGTCCAAACTACCAAAACATTTTAAACAATATTCTAATTAACAAAATATATGTCTAGTATTATGTGTGAACGTGGTATAAGCTTGAGGTTGTTAGCTGCAGCCATGGTAACCTATGGATTATTACGTTCAGTATCATGGGCATCAATCATTCAGTCACCTTAGACGACTTTTGACCCCATTTAATTACTTTTTAATTGAACCGATTTCATCTAAACTTTCTATGGTTTTCAACTTGAATTGCCATTACTTAATTATTAAAAAAAATTCTATATCGAATTTTCTTTTCTGCTTCACTTCCACGGACAACACTTTACCATAACTTATGCAAATTAATTTAGTATGAAATGCTGCAAATATTCAACAGCAGTGCTTGAATATGGAGGAAGCTGACTGTTCATCATAATTTGTTATATTGTAAAAATCTTTTTCTTACAATTTTGACCACACAATCCATTAGGTCCTATTCAAAAGTGTTAGTGATCGACTCAATATGTTTCTCAATCAGCGGCGATATGAATGAATAATTCGTTCAGTTGATGCCCTCACCTTTAATGCATGAAATCAATAATTAATTTCTGGTAAAACCTTTCAAGTGTTTTCTAAGTTAAAAATACAAATGAAAATTAACAGGGGGAGTTAAAATCTCTTGAACTTTTTGAAAAATCCATTTTAATACGTCTGTTTTATTTCTTCGAACATTCCGCATTTATTTATCGTCATTGCATTTCTGAAAAAGTAATCACTACGAGAGAACTGACTGCCTCTGGGAGAGATAATATATTTTTAGAAAAGGTAAAAATAGTCAGTACGAAGAACTGTAATTATTATCTTGGTTTAAACAACCAGTTCTGACAAAACCAAAAGTTTATTTATTTTTTGTTATGACGAGCTTTGTTGTTTATGAGACTTTACAATTTCATCAGACTATATGATCATTTCGATCAACAAGCAGCCATTTCATCTTGAACAGTTGTTCTTCAGACTACTTTTGTTTATTTCAAATTTGAGTTATTGAGAATGAATGCATATTGAGAATACCGTAATGGTTAGTATGTTAATTTCGAACTGCAAAATTTCACCAAAATTTGCTCTTATCTTCTACTTTTTATTGCCACAGTTCAAAATCATATTTTATTTGATTGATTATCCACATGACTTGAAGTATTATGACCCAACAAGAAATGCTTATCACTTTTGCTCATTCTGATATTTATTTGTATTATCTGTTTAGTTGTTGATTACTTTAGTTGTATTTAACTTCAAAGAAAACAAATATTGGTTGGAATCATTATTTTTGTTTGATGGAATCTGTCATATTATTTATTCCGCTATACCCTGCAGTTGTTAATAGAAACATTCTAGCGAATATTTTCCAATTTCAGTTTACTTTTACTTTCATATTAACAATTTATAGAGGATTTTTATTATAACGAATCTATATCTATCTGTCAAGACTATATGCTAGGACTTGAAAATCGTAAAACCGAAAAAATCCAATAATAAATTCAGCTTTCAGAAAATTAATGATACGTACACATGTGTAACATATAAACTTACAGTAAGAGCAAAATTCTTTTTGATTTCTGAGAGTTGAAATCTATTTGTAGATCGCTGCAAATAAAGTGGAGCTGCCACTCAGTTATATTAATCACATCTAAGTAGTAACTGCTAATTTTTATCCCTCAAAAATTTAATTGTGTGCACCTAATGTAAGCCACCAATCTCTTGAAAATGTCTGTCTTCATCAGGATTTACTGACCGGTAAAGTGTGACAAATATTAACTGTCAGTTTTATCTTAAATTACATGCGAAAATTAGGAATAAAAAAGTAGAGAAAACTGCACAAGTGTTGTTACGCAAGCACTGTTAACCGACATTAATTGCTCTGGTAAATAGAACTGACGAATAGAAATAAATTATAATTTTAGGAATTAAAAGAAGATAACTTTTTCACACAATGATTCACTGCACTGTGAGGCACTGTTGCGTAAAAAATTGGTCGTAATTAACTTTCAATATATATCATCATCATCATTACCGTCATTATTATTGCTATTAGTGTAGTTGTGACTATCATATGTACACTCTCATATATGGTCATTTGATATATTTTATGCATGTTCTTCTTTCCTTTATGAACCATTTGACAGATACACGTATATATATTGTTAAGAAGACATGAGCTAGTTGCTGGATGGCTTCTATTTCGATTTAATCAAGCTATTGCGCAGCCAATAACTTTCCTTTTAATACTCTCAGAGTTTATAAATGTAAAGAGTGAGCGAATACTGGAGTGGGGAAACAGTCTCTAGAGTACTTTGCATTGTTCCTGCTCCTTTCATTCAATAACAAAATGACACAGAAATTAATAGTGAAAGCTATCACCTTTCTTTTTCTTGCTGCTATTCATTCTTTTCGTCTGTTCTAAATGTAACCAAGTCAACTGTCTTTTCATCTTCAGTTTATCAATTTGGTCCTCATTCCATCAGTTCTCTTCCATATATATATGTATATACTCATGAACACAGTTTGTAACTCACGTTCATTACAACCACATACGTCAAAATACTCAAATGCATATGCATGCTCATATTCAAAGTGCATGTATGCACACGCGCATGCATAATGTATAAAACTCGCATAAGGTCACATGAGTAAAAGCAAAACTTCTGCTTTTTTTTGCTCTTTCTATTGAGAGAAAAACGGCTAAGAGCTACCTGCGGTACAACTCCCACACTTTTACAATCCAGATGAGAATTATGCAATATTCTCTGTACCTCTTTTGCTTGCAATTTATATATGAATAATCACTAAGGTAAATGCGCTGCTATGGCTGGAAATTGTTACACAAAGCATGCAGAGTTATGCATAATTCAATGAGCAGTGCAAATAGCATACAGTGTAATTCTGCCATATCGTACATGTCTGCTTAAATGGCTAGTGAACAGTAATTCTAAAGGCTGTATCATCACTACCTGACATATTTTTTGAACCATGTAAAATTGTGATATTCCATTTGCCGAAAAATTGCGGAAGTCGTAACCCAGAATCCACGTGTTAACCTTCATTAAGATAAAAACTTTCGTCTATATGTTATTGAAGAAATCGAAAAAGCATAGACCTGTTTGTTCCGTAAGTGAGCAGTACTTGTCAAGATTTCTGTGTAATTGCAGTTTTTATCAAGTTATTTGTTTTAAAACACTTTCCATAATGCGCTCCTTCGTTCTGAAAACAACGTCAAAACAATCCATATACCTACAATGCGGTGATGTGACCCAGACCAACCAATGTAGGTAATATAGTTTGGAAAGGGACACACATCTCTCGCTAGCAAGCTTCTAGATAGAAGCAATGCATACTGCACTGTGCACAGTAGAGGTGCGCAGAGTGCAATCGATCGGGTCGTCTGTCGCGCATTGAGGGTATATGTGTGTGTGTGTGTTTGCGTGGGCTTATAACGCTGTTTCTATTTGCCCTTTTCATCTGTAAGCTAGGAGCTTATTTATTCCTTGTTGCTATTTACCCTTCCTGACTTCACTATTTCCTCTAACCTGTCTCATCCATATTTGTCTTCCACTGCTCATTGCCACCAATTTCTGTCTGTTCTACTTTTGTCACTCTTTACTTACGTCTTGCTCCTCTCACGGCAGTCAGTTTTTGTTTGCACAGTTTCTGTTAGCTTTTAAATCGCTTGTCTGTTTTGTGTTAGACAGGGTGCCTCTCTGCTTAGGTTAATCTAATTAGCTGCTTAAGTGGTTTTGTGCGTAAGACTTTAAAATTCCAAACACTTGCAGGAAATTGCGAACTTTAACATCTTGCGAGATTTGATCGCTCTTCCTGAAGAACAGCACTACTATCGTATCATTACTTTTCTTTCTCCTCTGTACTTTCTTGTGCAATAATGCTAGTTTGAAGTGAAAAACTTTTGCTTATGAATTCGCTTCTCAGATTTTGTATTTTTCTGTTGCTCTTTCTTTAGTATTTATCTATGCACTCTATTCGTATTCACAGTTCATTATTCGTTCAAGTTCAAATAGTTGGAATTAAACACTTAAGCACTTAAGTTTCTTATTTAATTAATTTTTCTTACTGCTTTGCTTTGTGTGCACCAAAATTAGTGAAACGGATTTTGTTTATAATTCAACTCTTTCGAAATTCACACCTGGTTGCTTATTGATCAGCTGAATTTGTTCATTGATCAGGTGAATGTGATTACGTTCAAGGGAGTTTATTTTGATTGTTTGTTTTTGTTTTGACTTTAAAAATAATTTCATTTCAGCTGTTTATTTGTGTATTTGTAATTAAACATTTTCAATCTACGTTTTCATTTGTTCATTCAGTTAACTTTACAAGCGGATTTTCTTCCGAAATCTCCACTCATTTGTTATTTATATTACTTTTGATGAGGTGTTTTCTGTTCGCCTGGCTTGTGATTGATGCATTTAAGCAGTAGATTTTATTGCTGTTATGGCCAGTTCTTTATTCAGTAATAATCTCGTTTTTCACAGAAATGGGTAAGAATGCGAAGGAGGGAAATACTAGTGGTAAGCTACAAACGATGGAAGAAAATGCCTGTCGAGACCCAACTCAACAACCTGCTACTGTGCATTTCCTAGATTCTACCAAGCATATTTTCTATGTACCGGTGGGTTTGTTTTAAAGTTATCTTTTTGCAAATAATATTGTAGCAAATTCTTTTGTTCATATTTTTGTATTAAAGTAGTTTAAAATATTTAGTAGCTATGAATAAGTATTTTCATGCAATAAATTATTATTATCTGTTGCTTGCTTTTACTCCATTATGCTCAACTGGCGGAAAAGATCTTCGAATTCATTTTTTTCAACTTATTGAGCATTTCTTTTGTGGGGCAGTCCAAGTTTTGGTTCAAGAAACTACTTAGCTTTACGTATGTATTTTTTCTACTCCTTGATATCAAAGGAATTTGTAAGTACATAGGTTTCTGTAATTATTTCATGGAATAGTAAAGCTGTAACTAGTCTTAGTTATATCAGTAAATCATTTGCAGTATTTCATATCATAAATGCCATTGCAAAAGTTACCTGGAATTTTCATTATTTCCAAGACTTTTTGAATACAAAACTGTATGTGGATTAACCATTCCTTTTTATCGCTCTTTGATGCTAAACATTTTTTTGATGTTGAATATAAGACTTTGATTAGCATTTGTGGAAAGAGTTGAATTGTTTGACGTTTTCGCTGAAGTAAAATATCACTGTTTGCTTTTTCCTAGCCCGATTAAATTCCGTTAACATATATTTGAAAATTTGAGAAACAATTGTTATTTATGAAAGTATTTTCTGTTCAGAAGCGAGCTGAGGGAAGTGAATTATTTGATAAAGTGGCCGAATTCCTCAATCTGACTGAGAAAGATTACTTTGCTTTGTCTTTTACTGATTGTGACGGTGATCAGGTTAGTTATTTAATGGAAAATTCCATATCCTGAATTCAGAGAGATATTATTCAATGCAGCATTAGTGTTTTTTTCCTTAAATATTGTGATTATAACATGGTCAACTTTGGTTTATTGCAAACTGACCAATTTTGTGATAATAGAGAATCTGCTTACTTATTGAATTCATTTTCCAAAACTAGTACATGCGTTAAAAAAGTGAATTTTTTAAAAATATTTCAGCATTGGATATACGAGGATAAACGAATTTCAAAACAGCTGAGAGGTATGTTACATCATTATGATATAGTAGAAAGTTAATTAAGTATCGTTTATTGTGTGTTAAAATTCGTGAGTGATATCCCGAGATTTAATGGTGAAACTTTCTTTCTATAACCATGAACATTCAGCATCTTGTATTGTTAAAAAAGTATCATTATAATAAGTCTTTAATTTGTATTTATTTAAAATAAGTATTCGCAGCAGATAAGTACGAATTAGACATTCAAATCTAGTGAACCCTTTTTCATATATATTTGTTGGATGTACATGCTGGTTAATGTTACTAAATTTAATTTTTTCTTTTGGGAAATCTTTACTATATAAATTTATCAGTACTTGCAATAAATAATATGCTCTTTTGAGTAGTCCATCAATGACGTATTGCTATGACTCTGTTTCAGTAAAAGCAAATTAGTTCAAATTAGATCACAAAAGATACTACTTCCTTTTGTAGCTTTTAAATACTGTCCTTAATCTTAAGTTTTAAGTATATTGAAGCAGAAATGTTACACGAACATTTACTCCAGCCCGCAGCTTTGTTAACGATCCTACTTTATACATTTTTCATTTCATTGATTCTAAGTGTTGTATATATTTTTAAAATTTTTGAGAGAGCTGGTATCATAATTACATTACATCAGTAGAATATTTAGGAATCTCATTTTGAGTATTTTAATTAAACAGTAAACTGATTGATATTAATCTAGTAATGCTATCGCATACGAAATCGACCACTTTTTGAAAAAAAACAAGAACTACTACTAATTGCTTCAGGCCATCCATGGGATTTTAATTTTGGAGTGAAGTTTTATCCACCTGAGCCTGCGACATTAGCAGATGATAATACGCGCCATCTTTTGAGCTTACAAATTCGAAAAGACATATATACTGGGAAGTAAGTATTATAAATTGTTTGTTGGTATGCAAGAAGATGAAATGATTTTAGAGTCAGGAATTTCAGTTTGATTTGGAATAATTTTTAACTCAACGATGAGCTTGGTATCGTGTGAAGTTCGTTTTTAAGTTTTATATTTGTTTTTAGGCTTCCAGCTACGGTTGCTACACACGCACTACTTGGTTCATACGTGGCGCAGTCTGAGCAAGGTGATTATGAACCTTCATTACAGTATGTTGACTTCCTTAAAAGTTGCCGCCTAGCACCGTTATCAAATGACACACTATATGAAAAAATCGAAGAATTGCACAAACAGCACAAGTACGTTATTGCCCAAAATTTTTATTATTATTGTAAGTAGAAACCAAGTGAATTTTTGATTTTTTGGTGCCATTTTCTCCTAATAAAACATTCGTCGGATAAATATGATTTTCCAAGATTTTGAGATATGTATAATAATGTTTCAGATTATTGATAAGTTCTATTTTACCGTAATGATTAGAGAATATTTTAAGTGTCTGTGTACTCATAATAGACGATTTTTAGAGGTGTCACGTCATCTGAGGCAGATTTTAAATATTTGGAAATCGCCAAAAAACTTAGTATGTATGGAGTACATTTTTTTCCTGCAAAGGTTTGGAGGACTAAATTTTTTCATTTACTTCAAAGTTCTATCTCATTTTCATTTTCCAGTTTAACGAAAATGAAAATAAATCACGGAATATTATTTTAGACTGTAATACGAATGTCAAGAAAGAATCTTAAAATTTTTAAGAAATGAAGTGACATGGATAATCATGCGCCATATTTGATTTATTCTTTTATTCCACTAAGATATTTCTTAATTCATTTTTTAATATATTGCCTGCCATTATTAACCGTAAGGCATGAAGGATTTGGAGTTTTAAAATAATCATTTATTTTAATAGCTTAATCAGTAGTATATGTTTTCAGGACGGCAAAGGGGTTTCAGTACAGGTCGGTGTTTGTGCTCATGGTATTCACATATATCGTGACCAGATTCGTGTGCATCGTTTTTTGTGGCAGAATATCATCAAAATTGGCTATCGACACAACATATTTATTGTCAAAGTTAAACCTGGTGAAGTAAGTTTCATTGCTTTTAATTATTTTTTAATTATTCCGAAGTTAAATATTTACAAGAAATTTAGATGTGAACAAAACTGAAATGTTTATCTTTTCAGCTTGAAAAAAATGTATCAACAGCTGCATTTAAATTCTCAGATCATGAAGCTGTAAAACAAGCTTGGAAATGTGGAGTTGAACATCACACATTCTTTAGGTTTGCTCACTGTTTTTTGAGTGTATATTTCAATGATTATAATATTTGATTGCAAAATTTTTTAAAAGCTTATCAGAAGAACATGTGTAAAAGTTTCTTCTCTAAATTATCGGAGTTGCAGATTGATTCAGCCTGAGGAAAAACCCCATAAAGGTTTATTACGGTGGGGTTCAGCTAGGTTTCGCTATCAGGGACGCACGCAATTCCAATCAAAAATGGCTTCGCAGATGTTTAGTAGCAACCAGCCAATTCAGCGCTCGCAAAGTGCTCGAATGACACGAAGTGACGAAAGTGGTAACTGTCTTGGATTTTTCGACAATATTTTTGTAGTATTACTAGCTTCATTGTCATTTATTGAAGTGGGAGCTCACAGTGTTCCTGAAAAAAAGTTTGACTATTGAAAAGTTTTTAATTGTGACCTTTTTCATTTTTAAAAATTTGGCATGCATGCTCATGCTTGATAATATCGACGAAAAATAGCAATCACGCACATGTGACATGTTACTATAATTATAGTGCCGATATTGAAAAATCAGACACTTCCGCTGACTTATTCCAAAGATGAAGCTGTTAAGAATGAAGAATACTGCAAAAGTGTATGTCTTCAATTTTTTACAAGTTTGATGAAGTTATGAAAGTGAATAGAATGGGATGAGTTGTTGTTATGTATATAGTTTTTTGTCATGAAATATATTAACAGGTTAAATTTTATGAAGGTAATGGTCGTTTAGATTAAATCCATTTTTTATAAATCTAAAATTTTGTTCTTACTGAGGAACAAAACTTCATAGCAGTAATTACAGTAGTTGAGAGTTGGGTTATAATTATTTTAGGTTACAAAATCTCTGCTGCAAGTAATAATTTTTTTTCAATCTTTATATTGCTTAGGTACCACTTCAAATTATTGTCATTATCATGTTTACGTGAAGAAAATATCTTCTACTTGATGCAAACAATATTTTTGAATTATTTAGGAATAATGTAAATAATGTTACTTGAGATAGTTATATAAGCATTTGAGAGCAGTTAGATTTTGGATGGTATTATTTGATAGTTCAGTAAATTATTTTCAGCATGTAGGCTCTCCACGTGAGATATATACGACATCATTTCCGGGAACTGACCAAAGAAAAGGATATAAAACAATGATGAATGATGAAGAGGTGGGTTACAGCAGAAAAATTCAAACCGGTGAGGATTTAAGAAAGTTGCATGACGGTATCTGCTCTTCTTCTGTTGTTACTTCTGTTATTACTACTACTACTGTTCCTATTTCAACTAATACTATTACTGTCATTAATTCTGTCATTGATACGCATCAGTTTCATGATAAGAAAACTGTACAAACTTCCTCATACCATGTTTCAACTCATTCCCATGATATCTGTAGAGGTATAGCTTTTTCTACAAATCATCTATTTGATGATGGCTTGCATAGCCAAACACACTACGGGTTGGATGGCATAAGTCGAAGTGGACCAAACATATCAGTTTTACGTAAACAAGAAGATATGCAATTTGTTCCAGTAGAGGATACTGCAGTCGTATATCACCCTGGGCATTACGAAGAACAAGTTGCCGGCAATCGTACTGGGCTGTTTCTTGAACCACCAGTTGAACAGGATGATGATTTTGTGCTAGTTCATAAGCCAAAACTAGGAGTGCTTGGAAAAATATTCCATCAGAGCGGTTCAGAAACCGACATTCTTGTCAAAGAAGAAGATATTGAAGCACGTCCTATTCGTTACTCTTCGAATGTGTATCAACCCGGTTTTTATCGCTTTGCACGTGAGAACAAAGATTTTGAAGTTTTAGAGCATGGGAAATGTTCTGATTCACAACATGTGGGTAAATTGAAAGTAGATGAAGAAAAACATTTCAAAGATGAAGAATCCACAGGACATGTCTCGCATGTGGAAAAGGATTCGGAGTTGTCGTTAAAACCACTCAGAAGTCATGAATATGTCGATAGCACCAATGAAAAAAACAAATGGCCACATTCGTTGCCTTGTTATCAGCAACTTGAAAAAAGTGAAGAGCATTACTTGAAAGGAAATACTGAAGTGGGAAAAAGCATGATTCCTCAATGGACTGAGAGTCGTACAAGAAGCAAATTACATGGTGCTATTAAACCAGAAAAGGAGGCTAAAAAAATTGCCTTTGTTCATGTGAAGTCGGGAGTTTATGAAGAACAGCCAGAGTCAAGAGATGCTTATGAGCTAGAGAAATCGGCAGCTGTTACTGAACTGGACAAAGGAGTGAAAAGAACAACTGTTGTTCAGGTGAAGACACCAATTTGGGAAAGGGAGTTGGCACCAAGAGATAGTTATACTCTAGGAAAAGCGGAATCTGTTTCTGAATCGGGAAAAGGAACGACAGCTGTACATGGTAATAGTGAAAGTCAGTCGATATGGACAGGTAATTATAAGTCAGAAGCAGTGGAACTAATCCCTGCAACAGAGAAAGAAACAAAGAAGATGGCGAATATTCACGTGAATACACCAATTTATGAAAGACAGTTGGAGCACACAACTGAGTATGAACCTAAAGTGAGTGGCGTGAAAAAACAAACGTGTGTCAGCAAGGAAAATTCCGGTAGGGAAGATAGATTTGATGCTCCTGTAAAGGAAATCGGTGCGACAGTGCCATATAAAACGTCTCTTCATCCAAAACAGGCATGCAGGCTTTTCATGCGCGCTCCAAGTAGTCCTATCAACCCGGAAGCGTACGGAGTGCCTTCAACATCCTATGACGGACCTTTACATAGTATCAAATATGACAGCGGATTTGTATCATTACCAATTCATGAACATGTTACTATATATCATTCTGGTGTCTCAGTTGATAGCGATAGGAATCGTGATAAGCTATCGAGGCGAAAGCAGTATGAGAAGGAGACATCAGATAAAAGCTCCAGTAATGAGCAGCAAGATTTTCCTGACAGCGGCAAAATGACAGCTGTTATTGTCGTGTCTCAGTCTGACTCCGCCGTTACATCTCAGGCGTACGAAGAAAAGTCTGGTGAAAAAGCATTGGGAATAGATTATTCCCATCAATTGAAAACAGGTTTGTCTGCGGATTTTGAGATGAGTAAAGAGAAACTGTATGGAACTTCTCATGAAGAAAAGAATATGAAACCATTTGGTACACAAGGTGTCAAAGGTGAAAATGCAGTAAAAAATACGAAAGCTATTTTAAGCTTTGGCAAACCATACCAAAAAATAGAAGACGATGAAAAAATGAGAACTCCTTCCGCCACAAACTCACAGGAATCAAAGTTAGATTACAAGGTTCGCCGAGAATCAGGGTCGAGTGTTTTGAAAGATGAAATTTCTACGAGCGAAGATTCGAAGAATAACCAGCCCAAGGATGCACTTACATATGACATGTTAGCTGTTATTAAGAAAGAAGATAATGAGAGTGAAAAACTGACATCGAGCTTATTTTCAAAACAAACAAATCTCGCCAAACTAACAGCAAGCGAACCAGATCAGGAAACTTCTCATACAGGGAAGTGTAAATTAGATAATGTGGTGGTAGACACTCATGTCAAAACCGGGGATAAGGTATTACCAGGGTATGCAACCACACAAGTTTCTAACACAAGTAGTCCTGAAATGAATGATGCCGAATCCTCGCGTGCTCCCTTGTTCACATACAGTGTATTAGGTGTAATGAACTCAGCAAAAAAAGAGATTAAAAAGATGAGTTTACGAAAGGAATCTGCTTTGGGTCCTGAGGAGCTACCGGAGCATATGGAGAGCAACGTTTCTTCTGAAACGAAAGTAAAAGATGTGCTACCTGTTACAATGTCTACAGGAAGTATGCCTGACGACAGACTGGGAACTGACGGTGCAGACAAGGGAACTTCCATTGCCAGAGAGACCCAAGATATAATGAATGTCAAACCTGAACCAGTATCCAGATACAGCGTACTTGCTGTAGTCAAGCCGAGAGAAATGATTACAAAGATGTCGCCGAAGGCATCCACATCCCCTCCTGAGAAGTTGTCCCAAGAGAGTGAAATTTCTTTCCAGCCAATCCATTTCACTGTAAAACATGAAACCCCTCAAGCGAAGCATCTATCTCTTGCTTACAAAAAATTCAAGAGGGTTAAACACAAGGGCACTGTAGAATTTATTGCAAAAGAAAACCTTGATCCGCAAAATTATAATTTTGAAAATACTCCATATCAGGGTCCGCTTGAAGTGATCAGTTTTACAGAAGGGCTGCAGTTTGCACCAATTCACGAATACTGTACCATATCCCATCCAGCAAAGAGTCGTGTTCGATTGCGTAAATTGTACAGGCAAAAACGTGCACCAAAAATTACAAAAGTAAAGAGACCTCTTATTAGGAACGTTAAAAAAACAGCTATCTTACACCTGAATAAGGATGCAGATCGCGGAGAATCGAGGGATCAAAGTTCCTCACCGTTATACGAGCTAGAAAGTAATTTGGAACATAAGTCATCTAGTTCACCTGAACAGTCTACAGCATATAAAGCACGAGTAGTGTGCAACAAATTTCACAAAAAAGAACATGACTCAGAGCCTAAAAAACAAGAGCTATCCTTCAAACATTGTCTTATTTCTGGTGATGCTGAAATTGTGGAGAAGATACCTGTGAAGCCAGAAACATATCATCTTATCACCATGCCTTATGATGGTCCTGTAAGTCGCTTGGAGCTCAGTGATGAGTTGTCATATACCGCTCTGCAAGAGCTCGTAGCCGTCTACCATAGTGGGATATCTTACAAAGAGACACAAAGATTGTACAGAAGAGATAGTAAGTCGAGTGTAGGAAGTAAGAGTACTAGTAGTGGCAGCAGCACTATCAACAGCAGAACCAGCAAAAGTGGCTCTTTAACCTCCGGTCTCTCAAATGAACACAAGCGAATGAAGAAAAAAATGAAAGCTAAACTGTTTCTTTCTCCTAATGAAAGGAATAGAACTGGATTGTCGAAGGGCAAAGGATTCTTTTCATTTTGGCGTAAAGGTCATGATGATGAAGGAACACGTGCCGTACGAAAAAAACAGAAACTGAAGACATCGTCAAAATTACAGTTTGGTGAACAGCAGCGGTCTCCTTCATTCGATTCCACTGCTGGTCACGAGCCATCAGTAGTATCACAAGACATCTCAACGACTGCAATGAAAGGTTCTGTCAGTGGGTCACAGAAAACTGTACAGACCAAAGAAAACGAAAGCAAGAACACAGCTGTAAAACTTTACATTAAAAATGAATCTTTAACGATTTCAGGAAATGTGGAAGAAAGTGGGAAACATTCAAAATTTAGTCCTTTCAGTTTCTGGCGATTATCAGAAAGAGAAGGCAAGAAAAATCTGAAGAAGTCTGACTTCATTTCGTCTCATAAAGATCGTGAATCTGAACCTCACTCCCAAGGTTTACATTCATCATATCGAGAAGCAGATGATGTTAGTTCAGCGAGAGAAAGCAAGAAAAAAGCTCTTGTTTACATAACTGCCAAGGGCAAATCATATGAATCAGACTCAAGTGATTTATTTCGTTCTAAAGATTCTAGCAAAAGAATTGCAAAAGCGCAGGAATCACTATTTGAGGATGAGACAATTATTGAACCTGCGTCTTCGAGTTTACCCGACTCTTCTTTGGTGAGCGAACGAGAAACTACTCATCTAAGAGCTTGCACTTCATCTGTTGTTGACAGACGTAAAGACGTGGTATCAACATCACCCGAGACAGAAGTGGCTTATCAACCATTGCGTACAAAAGTCTCTATTCAGTATGATGAATTATATAACGTAGAAGGACAGAAAACAAAATTACATGAGGAGAAAGATGCCTGCGAAGTATTAGGAGGTAGTGCTGATGATAATGAAAGCAGTGCTGATATGATTGAGGAAAGCGATGGTAAACGGTATATGGCAAAGGTCAAAGTTAAATCAGAGGAAAGCTATAAAGGAAAGGGGGATGAGCAGCCAACTTTAGTTGCAGCAAGGAAAGAAAAAGAATTACTGGGTGATAGCTTGACGAAGAAATCAAGCTTTGTTGTTAAGGGATTCCATCTTCGTGGTCCGAATAGCGAATTTGAAGAGACAAACGCTATTGCACGCGGCGTTAGCAAACAAGGAGTTATTAAAAGTATCCATACATGTACTTCTGCAGGATTGCTGGAGAAAGATGTTGGAGAAGTGAATACTAGTGAAGATGGAAATGAGAAGTTAGACGTAGGCAAAAAGATCCCTACATTACGGATCAGAAATGAGAAGCTGGTTGAAAGTGATACGGATTCCAAGGAGAGTAAGAAAGCTGCTGGCAAGACCGGCTTTTTCTCAATCTGGCGAGGAAGTAAAAGAAGTAGACAGCAGAAAGCACAAAACAAATCAGCATCTTCGGGAACTAATGATTCAGTTCAGTTAACATTATCCTCAGATCCCAATACATTACCACCGGGCCAAAAGGAGGTATTGTTGAATGCAAATGATGAGCAGTGTATGTTCCCTGTTGAAAGTGCTGAGGTCAGAATGCCAGCAAAGCACAGTTATGTACCTGTTTATGATTTCTCATATGTTCCTAACTTTGGCACTAACATCGAGATAGATTCGCAAGTAAAACAAGCGGAAAGTAGTGAAAAAAAGTTGGTTGCATCGATGACTGTTAAATGCTCGGGCGACGTTAGACAAGATTGCTTAGAAACTGATGCTATGAACAATACTTCGACTGAAGAGAAGGAAAGAGGAGCAAATAGATTTAAGCAGCTTTTCGGTCGTCAGGTTAAACACGCTGAAAGATTTTTAGATACGTCATTTACGCAGCAAGATGTAAGCACGGATGAAAAACCCCCTATTACTGATGATCATAAACAATTGCTTTCAAGAGATAAAGCATTCCTTTCTGAGCTAACATGGGAGAAGTCAGGTGGCAAAAGCCATGGTCACTTAAAAGAACCCATAACATCGCAAGCTAAAGAGTTGCAACTAGCGACAGGGGCTGAAATACCGGATGAGCCGTATAAATTTACTCAGACCCCTCCAAATGATCTAGATTCAGTAGCCCACTCATCTGATCTCAAAGATTCACGGGGTATCATGCAACAAATCAAGCGACAAGTGGCACAGGTTTGTGCTGTTGTATTGAGTTTATGCACCACGTGTTTCAACGCTTTTACTTGTAATGAATTAGTTTGTTTTTAACTGCATGACAAGGAGGTATTTGGGCTATTCTTAATTTGTTGAAAGGATTGTAAAGAATATTCTACTGCTTCCTGCATGAAGAGCTTAGTTTGTACGTATGTTTTCGTTATAAACACCATATTGTTTTCGAAACTTTACTCAGAAGGTAGTTTGCTGCAAATAGTAATCGCACAAAAATACTCTGATTCTTTGTGGTACCTAGTGTCATGTTTGGAAGATTTCGATCCTAAACATATACTTATGACATCTTTATTGCCTGAAAACCATATTCTTTATAGTGATTAAAATTCGTACTAAATTTGTCTTAGACTAACAAATTCTTCGCCACTAGTTTTTTTTTTTTTAAAATTTGTAATGCAGCAACTTTTTTATTAGTTTCAGTGCATACGTAAAGCACTATCTTTGCGTGATGTTTTTAATTCCTTTTTTTGTTTTTGTTATCTCTTCTATAATGACTTCTTATTATAAATAGTCTTATTTACAATAATTTTTTTACTAGGCAATGAATAATTTAACTGTTTTAGACATGCAGTTTACGTTATACATAATTCATGTTAGCCCTTATAAATGTAATACTTTAATTTTTCCAATTTATAGCTTTTATCTATTTTGTTTGCAACTCAATATTGTTAATTACTGATATCTTCTTGGCTGTGCCTAAACTTCAAAAGCACAAATTTTGTGAGCGAAGTAGCGAATCGATCTCATAGTTACTTATTTTAGGTGGTTGTCAAAGCATCACCTGGATCAGATGAAAGAAATAAATTGAAAGGAAAAAACAAATCTAAAAAAGATGCTTCATCTCGTGGAAGTGAAAGTCCTAGTACTTCAGAGTCTGATGCTAGATTGCTCCAGGATTCATCCATTAAACTTTTGAAGGTCGGTTTTTAAACATAACTTTTGAAATTGCGATTAATGTGTCAGTTTGGTTTACATAGATATTCACTAGTAATCTCGTATACCTTTTATCTCTAACTGAAACTAGCAGCTTTTATAGCTTGAATTCAATAGTTTTCCATAATAGTAACCGAAATAATTTCATTTTTTTCTGCATTTAATTCAGTGATCTACAAATTATAGGGGAATAAGGAAAAATCTGAGGTAGCCTGCAAAATACAAGAAGAAAAGAAGTTGGGTCCTGAACAAATCCTTTTTAAAAAACGTACCGAAGAAACTTATATTTTAAAGGGTGCCGGAACAATACCAGTTGATGTATCTGATGCTGTAGGTTTTCATACTCTACTTCTCATATCGGTTTTCTTCAGTTGAGTTATGATTTATAAATTTGAATTCTTAGGTGCCTTAGGTTTTTGTGATGAACGATTATGTATTTTTGTTTAATTTTTGTTTTGGAAGGTATTTATGATGACTTTTTTTAAAACTCAATTTAAAGATTCAACCTACTGGGGATGTAGTTTAATCTATTATATCTTAAAAACTTGACAATTAGATATCATGTTTGCATGAAAATATATGCATCGTTCAAAGTTTTTTGAGGATGAGTAAAGCTCTTTCAAGTTTATTCTTGAATTTCAGAGTTCTATGTATTTCCATCTCTTGTTGCTTCTTGCTGTTTGGTCGCCATTCTTTTTTAAACATATGCGAGAGAAATGCTTTTGTTTCTTTATCTTGTTTTCACTTTGCGTCTCGTTTATGTCGTATTTCATGAAAACTGCTGGTATTTGGATAAAAATGAAAAATTAATAAAGTAAATTATCTATAGTGAGTACTTTCCACTTGACATGTTTTACTTTATTGCACTCGGCTTTTCAAAAATCTCTAAGTTTTAAAATCTTAGCATTTGCAGTCTTTTTCGAACATGAGGGGAGAATGTGGAATACAGGGACGCGTGCCACATAAGGAGGAAGTGAAATCTACGATTGACTCAGAAGAATATGGCAATTTATCTCATGTGATTGAGGTAGGCTGAATTTTTTTTAGCTACTTTTACATCCAAAAGTTTTCGTTGCATCAGATGAATTCAAACACCTTCTAATTTCAATGCGTTTACTCGTTATTCAACCGATATCAGCCCCACTCTAATCAACAATGGTCTTTCACTAATTTTAATTTTTCTCTGCAGTTTAAATAGTTATGAAAAATGGCAAACTAATTTTATTTTATTTTTGTCTTGACTTCAAAAGATTTGTTGTCCATCATAATTTTTAGCTGAATTGACTTTTTAATTTTTTAAAGGGGTTGCACTTTCCCTGTTCGCACGAAAATGTATCAAACTGAAGCTCGTTTGCTGATATATTCATATATTATCCAGTACTATTTTTTATCTTAGAGCTTATACATTTTTATTTATTCAGGCAGGTTCAATTCCTTGTACAAAGATTGATTCATGGAAGGAAACAATTCATGGACCTGAAACTATAGTCACAGATGTTGATTCTCGGGGAAATGTGGTCAAGTTAGTTTTAGAATAATTTCAATGTTGTGCTTTCTGTGACATATTTTGATTACCATTCCTTAAAGCCTTCATAGAGTTTCATCTCATAATTTTTTTTAAAGTTTTTGTAAAAGCTTAAAATATAATGCCTATGAAATTTTTCTTAAAGGAGGATGGTCAGAACGGAGCAAGTAAAACATACTGTTCACAAGGAGACATTCCACTCTTATAACATGTCCGGCCAAGGAAAAGATAACGTTTGTATCAAAATACTATATATGTAAACTTTACAAAACTGTGAAGATACATTTTAAAAGTTTTTCATTGTTATTATTATAGAGTATGAATGTAATTGAAACAGCGCACAAGTCATTCACACCTAGTGGTGAAATCAACCTTAGCAAATTACAAGCACCACTTATGGAATCTGATAGCCATACATATAAGTCGAAAAGTGGTTCCAGCGAAATCAGCGGAAAAGACTATTCGGATATTCCTGGGGACCTGGTTTCCAGTCGTACGATCACACAGGGCAATCGGACTATCGAAACCATTACTGTAAACATTTTCTGCTTTTTAAAAGACTTTTTTGTGGTTTTTATATGACACCAAACAAATCGGATATTCATGTTAGCAGCTAAATTAATTTTTTTGGTTTGAAATCAGGTTTTGAATGATTTTCTCATGTTTTTCAATGGTTTTTTGCTTCACACAGTAACTGACACTTTATATTAGATCTTTCGACCAAAAATTTGTTATGTATGTACTCATTCGAAGCCATATGTTATATACAAGCCAAATGGTATCTGGAGGTTAATCTTTTTTCTGCATTATTGGTACTGGGTCGTATTCTGGCGCTCTCACTTTACTCGACCCGCGCTCAGTTCTACTGTGCTGGTCTCTGTTACTTCATCCTCTTCGAATCCACGGCGATGATCGAGTGAGATGTTTTCGTGCGTCTTCTTGAGTACTATCGATTGGATATATGCTTCGACATGATCTGAATATGCACACCTTCGCTTAGCGTTTATGGAAGTTCGTTACTTTCACCTCATGTTACCTACATACGGAATTATCTTCGTTCTGCATGCCACCTTAGGATTACTTCATGTCTCTTTTGACCTATATTAGAATATCCGGTCCGCCACCACTTATCTTTACAGCTGGTCTAACGCGCTTATCAACTGTTATTTTCACGTTCTTATTGGCGACGATCCCTGAACGAAATAGCTTCAGTTCGTAGGAAAGTTTTCACGCCATCTTTCTCAGAGCCCCAGATGATTCATCGTGGGACCTCATTGTGTCTTTTAGAATAGTCATGATAATGCTTTTTCTCACACTGCATTACTAGATGTTTCCCATCATCACGCGTTCCTTACAATGTTGGCATATACTTTTCTCAACTCCAAAACTTATTTTTCTCCAATACTGCGCTATGTATCGCGTGGTAATGTTGCCTTGTCGCAGCCACATTGATGAATCAGCCAGTGAACACATTATTCATTCGTATCATGTATGCTTTGCATGATGGCTTTTCTGTTCTATATCGCTATACAGGAGCTCTTTTTGAGCTGCTAATACATTTTCGACTGTTAGATTTCCTACGATGTTGTACCTAGTTTTTAAATAGGGTATATTAATTGCCAAATGCATGTTGTGAGCCTTCGCCTGCTTTAAAATCGCCACTCTCTTGGTAGATATGGGTGCGATATCTACAATAACATTATGAATCATAAGCTCATTTCTATGTTCACGTCCTAGCTCGTCCCTTGCCAGGTACAGTCCCTTTAAACATGCAGGTTGATTGTGTATTCCGTATTTATTCAGCAGCTGCCTGATAGCTTCGAAGTCTTCTGGTTCTAGTTGCAGCATTCTTATGTTATTGTTTATCAAACTTATAGAATTCTCATTCACTGCCTTGATAATGTTCTTGCCATTTAATACAATTGTGGCTAATTCCATAATTCTCACCAAAATCTCTGCGCTCACTTTTTTGTAGTATTCTAGGGTTGATGCATGCACTAGTCTTGTCTTTCATTATCCCAAGGTATTTATACCTTTGAGCTTCTTCTAAAAGCACATCTTTATCAGTGCATACTTCAGTACTGACTGTTAGATTCATCTCTAGCCTTACCACATCAAGAAACTTTTGAACTTATTCGGCCATAGATTTCATGATGTCCCCGTCGGTAGCAAGGAGCTTTAGATCATCAACAAATAATAAGTAGTTCGTAATATGCATCCATTAATAGGTGGAAAACGCCACATTTAGTATTTAAACATCGACTCAACGGATCCATGCACAAAAGAAAAACGACGGAGAGCGGAGAAAGGTTACCGCCTTGAGGGTTTTTTGCCGTATTTTCTCGTGGGCGATAGCTTCTTTATTGTTTTTCAGTACAACTGCCCATCTGGAGATACAACTGCCCAGAAACCTGCTGATCCATGGCTTATTAAGCCTTTTTTCAAAATTGTGTCTTTTAATGCAGTTCAGATCTCATGGATATTTCAATTTCAGAGTCATTATTTGAGAATTGCTTCTGAATATTGTAAGTTCATCGAACATTATTTTCAGTACAAAACTGAAAGAGATGGAGTCATTGAGACACATGTGGAACATCGCGTTACGATCAGTTCAAGTGACGATATTGATCACGATGCGGTAAGTTCGCCATGAGATCAGTGGGCTTCGTTAATTTTGAACATTTTGTTTTCAGTCTTCACTTTTTAAATTATGTGGTGTATTCAGTAAAGTTTCTGTTTCTACATCATTTCAATGTTGTTTCTAGTTATTGCTTTTTTATGCGAAGTGTGATAACTCTAAAGTAAATTTAAGCATTAATAATTTTTTTTGATCATAATTCTCATAAACTGAAGACTTTTTGCAGGAATTGAGCCAGGCAATTTTAGAAGCTACCAAAATGAATCCCGATATGGCAGTTGAAAAAATTGAAGTGAAGCAAGAATCACAGTGTTAGCATGCTACAATCCTTCCACTTATACCTGTAATTAATATTGTTTCTATGTTGGTCCTTCATTCTTTGTTCATTTCCACTATCTGTTCTCGCTTAAACTTATGCAAGCCTTTGTTTTATAAATTTTCTTGTAATCTATAAAAATAATTTAAAAAGTAATTGCAAGGAATGATGTGAATATGATTTTATCTCTGATCCCCTTTAGCGCTCTCGATTTTCTAATTTTTATTAACTTCGTATGTGCTTGGGAAGCGCTGCTACCTGATTTACTTGATCGTCTTTGAGAATGTTCTGACTGCGTAAGATTTATAATTCAACCAGTGTTTGCTGCTTTTTATATGAATTTAAAATTAGCCTCTAGTCGACAGGAAATCTTTTTCATATATCGATTTTGTTTATGACTATTTTGACGGTTCGATTTTAGGGTAGTAACATGGATTTTTCAGTCTTGAAGCTGTTTGTGAGAATATTAATGCTAAAGTCCTGATGTAAGTAGAAGTCGGTTTCAGTAGTTTTTAGACAAGAAATACGGTCATGCTATTTAGAATTACAAATTGTTGACTACATGTAGTAGATCTGCATTTCCCACATTACTTTCGTATTGATGATAGACTGTAGTGGACTGGGCCGTAAAATAGTGATGCTCAGTTGACCATTTTTTGAACGTTCGTGAAGAGCGGATTAGTTCACTTGTTTGCCTGAAAATTAGATCCTTTATGATCGTCGGTTCTATCGTATTTCCAGATCTTTAGTCTCTCAGTAAAGCGTGCTTTTAGTTTTAGTTGCTGATTATGAGATATGACTAATCTAATCATAATGAAAATATTGTTTGCATTAAGAGCTGTGCTGAAACTTTACATCAGGTACTGTCATAATGAAATGAGGAGAAATGTATGTTTGTAAGTGTGAATTTCGGTCACCGTCTAAAATGGTCATCATTATATTTCCTCTTGCGAAATAAAAGATGAATTTTTTCCGTGTCGATATGGATTTGGTGGGGAAGTACACTGCATTCATTACTTTTAAGATGTGGCTGCAAAGCTAAATTTCAACACTGATTACAGTCAAACATTATGGAGGTATCAGGTAAGTGAAGCAAGAAAAGTTGAGGCGTACGCGGCTGGGAGGTGTTTGAAATACTTGCATGACTCGTGGTCGCTCTCTTTTTACGGATAGTATTTAAAGTACCATCAGTGGGGCTTTGACTGAAGATTTGAGTAGGAATAGCAATGCTTTCTCATACATTTTCCCAGTATTTGTTAGTTTGGGTTTCGGTTTCTTTTAGATAACGTCATAAATGACCAGTGGTTCTCACCTGACTAAGTCGGTTACTTTAATTTTACGGTATTTACAAAGATCGCATTCGTTTATTAGATGGCAGTTAGCAGCAGATTTATTCATGAAACAAGTTTCATGCTATTCATCAAAACCTCGATCAGTAAGTCCCAATGAATTTATTCATGAAACAAGTTTCATGCTAAGTGGTTCATTCTTCAAGTTAATATGCCTATGTTAAATGTTTCACAGTTCTTTCTATTGAGAGAAAAAGGCTTAAAGTGCTATGAGTATGTACGGAAGTAATAAGGAATTTCAGTCTTCCAGATCGTTTGTAATGGCATATATAATCATTGTCAAATACTTTAGTGGACTAAAATCTAGTTGTTGAGCGATATTTTTCATTGTAGGTTCGCCATGAATTTATATCAGAGAAAGCTTGGCAGTTCATTGATGAAAGTGTGAAATTAATGAGTCCTAAAGCGGTTCATATTTGTGATGGTTCAGCTGAAGAAGCAGATAGAATCATTGAACAAATGGTTAGTGATGGAAGGCTGACGAAGTTGAATGCATATGAAAATAACTACTTGTGCAGAACTGATCCAAAAGTCGGTACATTTTAGTTATTCATTGCTTGTACTTTTTGCCAAATTTAACATGCATATTTGACTGTTTTTTAATTCAAATTTTTGTTTCATTTTCTCAGTAGTTACAGCATTTTTTGATAAAACGTTCGTTTCGAAATTTCTTTTCGCTTCTTTAGGATGTTGCTCGGGTGGAAAGTAAGACATGGATGGTGACGTCAGAAAAATTTAACACAATATGCCACATTGCTAAAGATGTGAAACCGATTATGGGTAACTGGATGTCACCTCAGCAGTTTAAGAGGGAAAAAGATGCACGGTTTCCCGGTTGCATGAAGGGTATATAATCTATCCTTGCTTATTTTTGTTTTTTGAAAAAAAGAACTATAATGCTTTAAAGATGCCCTTTAAAGAAATAAATCAAGACATGAGGAAAAGGAATTTTTTTTATTGTGCTTGAGGTCGAACTATGTATGTTATTCCGTTTTCGATGGGTCCGGTTGGTGGACCGATTTCAAAAATTGGAATTCAGGTATTCAAAGCTTTATTGAATTTTACTGGTTTGACTTTTCTCAGCTGATTTATTTTTCAAATGCTCTCGAAAAAACTTTTGTAGTTGACATTTCGAAAATATGAAGTGCTTTATTAGTAATGAACTGTATCATTATTTAAAATTAGTTTTGCCGTAGCAAAAATACAGGTAATAAAAATCGTTTTATCTTTTGATAACACTTGGGAATAATTTCAGGTAACTGACTCCAGCTATGTAGTTCTTTGCATGCGTATCATGACTCGTGTAACACAAAAAATATGGAATATATTGGGAGATCATAATTTTGTGAAGTGTGTTCATTCAGTTGGGCAGCCTTTACCAGTGAAAGGTCCTCATAATAATTTCAAATTAAATATCACATAATTATTCACTAGATCTTTCTTTATTTCTTATTTCTCACTATGAATAACTCATCGTTTTAAGAAAATGTTGATTATTATCGTTTTAGAAAATTTAGTGAATAACTGGGCGTGTAATCCGGAGAAGACGATCATAGCTCACTGTCCAGCAGAACGTGAAATTTGGTCATTTGGTTCTGGTTATGGTGGTAATTCGCTTCTCGGTAAAAAATGTTTTGCTCTGAGGATTGCTTCAAATATTGCCAGAGAAGAAGGCTGGATGGCGGAACATATGCTTATAATGGGTCAGTTTCAAATCGAAGAATTATGATTTTGTTCGTTTAAAGTCTTTTATCTGTTGAAACCATGAGGTAGATTTGTTAGAGAATTGTCATATTTTGTTAGGAGTGACACCACCAAAAGGAAGAGAACGTTTCATTGCTGCTGCTTTTCCTTCAGCTTGTGGAAAAACTAATCTTGCGATGTTAACTCCATCTCTCTCGGATTGGAAAGTCCGATGCATTGGTTTGACTTCATTTATAATTCTTTCAGAAACTTTATACGCAATAAAGTTGGAATATGATCTATTTAATAATGAAGTACTCAGGCGATGATATAGCATGGATGAAGTTTGGTAAGGATGGTAGATTATATGGTATTAATCCAGAAGCTGGTTTTTTTGGAGTAGCACCAGGAACATCTAATAAAACCAATCCGATGGCTGTTGCATCATTCCAGAAAAATAGTATTTTTACGAATGTTGCTGAAACTATTGATGGGGAATATTACTGGGAAGGTTTAGAAAAAGAGATCAAGGTACTTTCTTAATATTTGGTTGTATTTGATTTTCGTCGGAAATTTTCATCGATAGTTCAATCATGTAAGAAATATAAATATATCGAGTCTGAGAACAGTTATCCTTGAAATATTGTGCATCATGATTTATAAGGATCCGAAAGTCGAAATGATTAACTGGTTGGGTCAGAAATGGCGTATTGGAGACAAAGGTCAGGCTGCACATGCAAATTCTCGATTTGCATGCCCAGCAAGACAGTGTCCAATAATTCATCCACAGTGGGAAGAACCTGGTGGAGTACCGATTGATGCTTTTATTTTCGGTGGAAGAAGGTTAGTATTAAACACCTTAAGAGGTACTAAGTAGTCTCAAAAAATGATTTAATTTTCTTAGAACAGCTACTAAAAATTTATTTATAGACTGTTCAACATTCTCTGTTCAGAAAAGTCGACAATTTTTTAATTAGTAGTCGTGAGAGAAAAATGGTCTTGCTGATTCTTTCTCTTTTTGATACTGTGGTATTTTCAGGGACAAAAATGTTTAAGCTATACATATTGATCTTTTATATGCAGTGCTAGTTTCAGACCGGAAGGTGTGCCTTTAGTGTATGAAACTTTTTCGTGGCAACATGGAGTTTTCGTCGGTGCTTGTCTGAAGTCTGAAGCAACAGCTGCAGCTGAGTTCAAAACCAGAACAGTGATGCATGACCCAATGGCTATGAGACCATTTATGGGTTACAATTTTGGGAAGTATCTTCAGCACTGGTTGAACCTCAATAACGGCTTTAATAAGGTTATTATCTCTTTAGTGAAACTCGTGATGAGCATAAATTTCAGCACTTAAAAGTTTATTGCTATTCTTCAATACAATCATGTTTTACTTTTGTTTATAGAACTTAATTAAAAATTTAGTCTGTCAAAAATTATTATACTTATAGGTTCCGAAAATTTTCCATGTTAATTGGTTTCGCCGTGATCAAAATGGCAACTTTCTTTGGCCTGGATTTGGTGAAAATATTCGAGTGATTGATTGGATTTTAAAACGATTAGACGGGGATGAATCAATCGGGGAAGCAAGTGCGATTGGTATTTTACCTAAAAAAGGTTCATTAAACCTCAGAGGCCTTGAAAATATTAATATCGATGAATTGATGAGTCTACCGAAACAGTATTTGGTGGAAGATGCTCAGGAAATTCAGAACTTCATGGAAGAACAGGTTGAACCTGAAGTTTTAAATCGCTAAATATTCATTTTTTGGGAATACAGTGGAGTTGAATTTTGTGGCATAATATTTTCACAATTTCCTTTTCTAAAATAGAAATTATGGTTTGAACAATTAATATGGAGATTTTCGGTATGCTTTAAAAGATTTCTACTACATGAAAGTATCTTTTTGTTTTTATCTCCTATTTGAGAGTAAAATATGAAACAAATATTTGATCTGAAGCTTCTACGCATTACTTTTTGTTTTATTACAAAGCAGCATAAATCATTGCATACTTATATTGCTATGAAGCATCTGTGCTGACTGCTGTTCCAAATCCTTTATTCACCATCTTTCTCATCTTAATTTTTGTAAAGATTATTTAAAAGTTGTACACTTTACTGCTTGTTCTCATCATGTTTAATATTTTTTCTTCAGGTTGGATCAGACCTACCTCAAGAAATTCGAACAGAAATGGAAAAACATTGTGAACGAATCGCAGCTCTGTAATTTATGTTTGAAAATGATCTTCTCCTGTGCTAGTCACGTGCCATCCTTATCTGGATTCCACGTGATAAAAACTCGAGTTTCCTGTACTTTCGTAGTAATTCTAAACCATATTAAAGAATAGCATTTCTTTCCCCGAGAGAAAAATGAAGTGTCTACTTAGCAGGCATTCCATTTTTCACTTTCTGAAAAAGATGCTTCCTCATTTTTTAATTCGGTAAATTCCCAAGAAAGTGTCACACATTGCGTAGAACTAAAAATTCAAAAAAACTTGCAATTACTACTTTTTTGTTTAAAAAAATTTTCACTTGTTCATAAACAAAATCTTCATTACAAATACTTTAGTGCTCTGATTGTATCACTGTTAAATGTTGCTTCATCTTGGATTGCTCTGGATTTTAAAAACAGGTGTAATATGCTCAGCACCCTTATGACACGCTAATGTCCTAATTATTGGTTCTTGTGAAAGTGGTTGTTAACACTGATAATAAAGTCAGTACTTGAATTTTCAATAATTCCTACATGTGCCGTGCACTTTAGCTCTGTTAAACTAGGTAAGGATCTGAGATGTTTGACGTCTAGTAGGGCATGACGTCAGCCATGAATGGTAGCGAATCCATGTGTTTGAGGAAAATGGACGGAGTCTATACAGAGCAGTTAGATATTTCATGGTTGGACGAATTAGTGACCTTGAGATTCGTATGGCCATTGTTCATTCTTCAGTTGTCTATTTTACTACACATCGGGCGAGGCTTGGTTAAGTTTCAGAGTTATTTTGTAGCAGATGTCGAAATCACTACTTTATAGCAGATGTTGGAATCATTATTTCCCAATATTTGTCATTTGCGAAATTTAACTAATAACTGCGTCTTCTGGAAATTGATCTCCAAGAAATAATAGTGTAGGAAAGTCCTAAGTAGTCGTGAGTGAACACAATGGCTTCACTAGCTAATGTGCAGCTCGAAATTAACATCGATCAAGTAAAGACAAGAGCAGTTGAACAGCTAATTGAACCCCTAATACAACAGGTACGTGGTTGTTTTAGGTATTTTCTCATTCATGTACCGATTTTGTTCACTTTTTGTCCTCATTTATCTTTTTTATTCTGAAAGTTGGGAGCTTTTATTAGTACTAGCTTTTATCTGCAGTCATCCTCCAAAATTTAATTTCTTACAAAAATTGTTCAAATGACGTCAGCCAAAAGAAAATGAAAATTTTGGATCCGTGTAGTAAAATCTTTTTGCATCCATAACAGGTTACAAGCTTGACTAATTCAAATATGATGCATCCGTTGAAGCGTAGTGGGAAAAGCGGTTCTGTGTTAGTAGCAGCTGTCGAGCGAACTATTCGAAATTTTGTAGAAATCGGGCGCTCAGCAGTGGCAGAGTGCCCACTTGCTACAGGAAAGTCTCTTGAGCAGTTGAAAGAAGCTTTGCGAAATGTAGAACATGCTGGTAAGTTAGATACGAATTTAAGCTTTAAAAGATTTGAACGTAAATCACATTATTGGCAGTAATATCTTCAGGATATGACTAGCGTGTACATCAGTCTGCACTATTACAAACTAAGTTTTTAGATTCCAGTATTCTTTGATATGAATTTACTGTTATGAATATATAGTTATAAAAATTTTTGTTTTACTATTTAGGTGTGGAAATGATCAATGTAGGTCATGATTTTGTGGAAGAAACAAGTAGTACAGATCGACGTTCACGTGCGGTACGAGCAGCCCGAAATTTATTAAATGTAGTAGCACGTATGCTCATTATATCTGATATGGTGGATGTAAATATTATACTTCTTCAAACATCTAAAGTGTGTATTATTTTACATACAGATATGACACTGAGATTGCATTTAGTTCTTACTGACTGTATTTTTTCAGCTGTTTGGTGTTATTTGAAATAGATGTCATTGATATTATTGAGTGATATGAGTGAAATTATTTGAAATAGATATGAGGGAGATTACAAGTGGAGTGCATTGGTCCTAAAAGAAAGTAGTTTAATGCTCAAGCTTACTAGTAATTTCCATTACATAACTTTTCATTATTATTCAGCAGATGCAGTTGTTGGAACAAGAGCAGCAAGAAATTATCATAAAATCAATGATTTTCTTGATTTTAAATATCGAGGGAAATGCTTTATTATCTAAACCTCAAATAATAAGTCATCTGTATTTTATATAGTAGTTTTACGTGGGTTTCTAGTATATTGAGGGGCCATGTAAAATATAATTACACTCATAAAATTTGATATCAGGCTCAGAATATTCTGGATCGCTTAATCACAGCGGAATCAAAGCAGGAAATGGCAGAGTTATTTGAATCACTGAATGCGTGTTTAGAGCAAGTAGATGAGAGTGTCAGGCGACGTATATTGGATCTGAGAAATCCAGCGGAACAAGATGATTTGCAGGCAGCGCGAGCATGGTTAATGATGAATAGTGTCATTTTGTTCACTTCCTCTACGGTAATTCATATTTTTATTGTCCCACTGTTTTTACTTGGTTACTGTGATATTTGAAGAATTTACTGTGACGAAACTGTAATTTTTCAAGTACGGATTTTTTAGTCATAGGTGAATAGAGACATCATAATTGCTTATTTCCAGGCCTATATGCGCCATCCAGAAGTAGACCAGGTGCGCTTAAATCGAGATTTTGCTCATACTCAAATGTCGTTAGCTTTTCAAGCTATAAGAGATATTTTACAAGATCGTGCCACAGATTGGGATATCAGTCTTTCACGTTATGGACGTATTAGTGATCTCATGCTAGAACTTGACAACTTTCATGTTGGTTTTGAATAGTTTTATCTAGTTATCGTTGATTGTAATCATTTTAACAGTTTTTCGTTTTAACAGTCTTTTTGTTTCAGTTCTTCGTTTCAGGTTCGTGCGTACATGGAGCCAAACTCATACAGAGATCATTTGCACCGTCCACAGCTCGAAGGTCTTTTAGAAAAAATTGTAAGCGGTGCAGCCAGTATTGCTGATTCAGATAACACAAGAGACGAAAGGAGAAGAAAAATAGTTGATGAATGCAATAATTTGCGACAAGCACTGCAAGATTTACTTACCGAATATGAGAGAAATGTATGCATTTTAACTAATATTGTTATTTTCCAATTTTCAGGAATCCTTTTCTAGTATATGAGAGATACAAAGTATTTAATAGTAATTACCGAATGGACAACAAAAAGTCGGCTTCGATGCAATGACAAATGTTTTTAAGTGTGGAGGTTCTGAACCTTCGGAAGACTTGGATTTGGCGATGGTGCATTTAGGACACAAAGCCAAAGATTTAAAACGACACTTGCGACGTGCTGTTGTGGATCATGTCTGCGATGCTTTTCTTGATACTAATACTCCCTTGATGATGCTAATCGAAAGTGCAGAAAAACATGATGAAGCTGCTGCTGTAGCGAATGGGAAAATGTTTCAGCAACATACCAATAAACTTATCCAGGTAAACCTTTCTTTCCATTAAAAAAATTAAAATATTTTACTTAGTAATTTGGTTATCTTTGAGTGCTTTTAAATTTAAGTTTCGATTGTCCTGAATCTTTTTATATGTTAGAAAAATCGGCTGTCGATGCGATGACAAATGTTTTTATTTTGTTAATCTTCTCAAGGAATAGTGGTATGTATAGGTGTATCCATTAAAAATTGTTTGATAATTGTAACTAATGTCTTTAATCAAAGTTTTTTGTCATCCTTTTATTTCAATATACTGACCACTGCCATATTTTTTGTTCTGTAATTCCAGTCATGCTAATTTTCTTATTGATTACCAATTGATATATTTTAGGCAGCGGAAATGGTATGTGTCATGAGTTCTAATGAAGATGGTATTCGTGTGGTTCAATATGCTATGGCGGTAATTGATAAGCTTGCATCTCAGGTAGGTAATTATTGTTCTTCTTCCTTCATTTTTAGGTATTTTACTTCACCAAATTTTAATTTTTTTTCAATGCAATGTTTTAAAACTTGCGCTGTATACATGAGGAAAAATTCCAATCATATTACTCTTTTAATGACTTATTATTTATTATAAGTTGAAACATTTATTTAGTTTTGGCTCTCTTTAAAGATATCATTCTTACTGGTCAGAAGTTTAGAAAAGTAATGATACCAAATAGCTGAGTATGCTTTTAGTTTGTTGCAGGTAATTAATGCCGCTTATTTGTTGTATATGAGAGATAGTCAGGTGGCTAAGGATAATATGGAAGCGTTCAAAAATGTGTGGATCGAAAAGGTGAAACTACTTTGTTTTAAGTATTGATTTTTATGCTTTTGATCAGTTGAACTATTTGTTTGCAAGTGCTATATATATTATATATCAACGCTGTATCGTTCAGATAAAACTACTAACGATTGCTGTTGATTCATTAATAATGGTGGATGACTTTCTGGCAGTTAGCGAAGCACATATTATTGAAGATGTTAAGAGTGGCATTCAGGTATCTTTCAAAATAGCTTGGTTGATATTTGATAATGAGTTGATGTTTTTAAGCGTAGTAACCGTGAATTATAGGCAGTGCTAAATGGTGATGGATATTTACTGGATCGTTCAGCTGGTGGTATACGTGGTCGATCTTTGCGAGTTTGTAATGTAGTTGATGCGGAAATGGATATGGTTGTGGCAAGTTCATATAGAGATCGCGTTCGAATGGCAACAAAGCAACTTAGAGATGATGGTAATTAATACTATTTACTATAGAAAAGAAGTGGGAATGAATTAGGTTTCTAAAAATCTTTTACAATACACATTGTCATAATATATTACTGAAATAATTGGCTTCGACTGATATCAAATGAAACAGAAAAATTCAGGTAAATCAGGATGTTATGATCGTAAGTTGTAGCGATTATGTTACCTATTTCAGTCATCGATCAGTTTGCTGATCGAGCTGAAAAATTGGTAAACAAATTGGAGAGAGAAGCATTAGAGAAGAAAAAAGACGAAGATAGAAGTTATGCGTCTGATGTGGATGAGTTTATTGAGGCTAGTGAATTGGTTCACAATGCAGTTAAAGAAATACGCAATGCTTTATTAATGAATCGCAATCCTGAAGATGTTGATTCAGACAATGAATATGAAGAAGGTATGTTTTTGACATTTGTTCAAAACGACAAAGGGTTTTTATATTTGCTATTACAGATGCTGAAATGAACTACCCAGATTCCAAGAATCAAGTAGTTGATATGGAAAATGAGCAGAAAATCATGCGACAATTACCTGAAGAGGAGAAACGGAAAATTCAAGAACAAATCGATGTCTTTAAGGTCTGATTATCTAATTGAAGAATATTGCTCATTAATTTAATAGCATAGTGCAATATTGAATGTAGTATGAGTATGAATTAATGATTTCGTGCAAAATGTCCTAAAAATGCATTTTTTTTTTCTTCAATATAATAATTATGCTCCACTGTGCACAGATAACCCAAAATAAGTTCGAAAGGGAAGTCGCAAAATGGGATGAAACTGGAAATGACATAATTGTACTTGCAAAACATATGTGCATGATTATGATGAATATGACAGATTTCACTAGGTTAGTTTGTATTTTGTAAAGCTATAAAACTGGGCGTACTATGTGCATTGTATATATATATATATACATCCACCTGATCTACATGTATATATATGTATATAATTATTTATTACACCGTAGTTAGTTTTTTCTACATTATTGATTATGGCATTGAATCGTGTTGCAACATTCTGGCTGTGCTCCTCCCTCTCTTAGTTTATTTGTGCTGTTCTCCGTCACTTCATCTTAGCAGAATCTAGCGCTAGTCGAATGAAATGAATTCGAGCGTTTTTCTGAGCACTGTCGATGCCCAAGAATGTCTTAACATAATGAGATACACTGACTTGCTTGTTTATAGAAGTTTGCCATTATTCCGTCCGAAGTCGTCACATACGGAATTATTTTCGTCTACTTTTCATCTTTGCTAAGAGTTTATTAGTTAGTATATCGTACTTTAGCTTTTTCTCGGTCGCGACTGTTGTCAGTCTGTCCAATGCAAACCTCTATCAAAAGTATTATATGTCCCTTCTTATCGTACACCACGATATCGTCTCCGCTCGTTCTTCCTACTTCTCTTGTGAGTACAGCGATACTGCCATTCCACTTCGTAACACGAGCGCTAGAGTCAGTAATGGGTTGAAGATTAACTTCCGTGTGATATTACTTGTTATGTATTTTTATCTATTTATTTATATTCATGTGTATGCTTTTCAGCTTTATTGCTTACACCGTTCACGGCGTAATGGGAATTTTCTAATTCATACGGCGCATTTTTGCAAACCGACTAATGCTTATTGTTGATTTTCGTTGTAGGGGACGTGGATCTTTAAAAACGACTATGGATGTCATTAAAGCTGCTCAAGAAATCTCTGATGCAGGAGCAAAGTTAAATTCATTAGCAAAACAAATTGGTGATGAGAGCGTAGAAAGTGAGACGAAGAAAGATCTTTTTGCCTACTTACAGAGAATCACTTTGTACTGTCAGCAATTAAATATAACGAGCAGAGTAGGTTTTGATTATTTATTACACTGTGACAAAGTATTTGTAGTTCGTTTCGAATTTCATAGCAAGAATTTATTCTTTGGTATATCATATGAAGAAACTCGTTAATTGAAACTTTATTCACATTTTCTAGTCTGTCATTTATGTATTTTAATAACTTTCATTTTCTGACTATATAACTTTCCGCTTCAAGTTTTCGCTTTTATGTGTAGAACATATTGCAGGTTAAGGCAGATGTTCAGCAAGTTGGCAATGAGTTAGTGGTTAGTGGACTTGAATCTGCAATGTCTCTGATCCAAACTGCCAGAAATCTATTGAATGCTGTAGTACTGACGGTCAAGGCCGCTTACATTGCGAGCACAAAGGTACTGAAAGTAAATCTGGATACCTATTTTTAAAATTAGAATCTCTTTTGTTGCGATCAGCCTGAAGAAAATAGTGATGAGAAAAGATAATATTTTGGCTCTTTCTGTTGATACTTTTTCATTATTGCTGCGATAAAACTGTTAAAAAGGCAATAACGGAACTAGATTTTTTTTGTTTTTTGTTTTTTTTTTGTGGGCTTATATTGCTTGTTTTTTTAGTTTGAAGTGTCAAAAATAAAGTTTGCAATCAATTAAGCTTTAATATACGGCTGAAAAGCGGCAATTGATGAAAGGAGCCATAAATTATCTTTCCAATTGCAGTAACGTCTGTTTAGCGATTGTGTTTCATCCCAGCTTTGCATGATATCCTCAAGGGATTTAGTAGATTAGTATGATAATATAGCATGAAATACTGTAATGTACTTGGTAGCGTAATATAGGGACGTTTAATTAACTTTTGAGAATCACTCGATGTCAAAGATTATTGCTTATTAAAAATAATTATCATGATTAATTTTTGTGAAAGATCATTAAAAGATTTTCATGACCAGCTCTCTAATTATTTAGCTAGTGTAATTGTAGTCATTTATTATTGGATTAGTAATTACATTGATCTTGAATAAATTGCAAATATTAAGAAATCTCATAAATTCATTTAAATATTATGTTTGCAGAATTGACTCCACCTAAATAGAAACAGATCGTTATGTCGTAGCAGTATTCATGCTATTTTTTTTCTAAAATGTTTTATAAAATTGATCTATTTCTTTTGTATTGATTCCCAATAATTTTATTCTGCATTAATTGACAATAATCGTGAATCAGTATGAAACAAATAGATCAACTATTTCGCAGTTCAGTCGTACTGAACCACTGTATGCAACATATGGTACAACTCTGCATGCTTAAGTTTAGTGCGATAAGTTTTGGCAGCTTGAGTAGTCTTGAATTTAAATTCCAGTTATCAATTGCAACGTTGCGCGCCTTTATTTTACCGATTTTGTTGTGCAAATATTGTTTACTTATTTAATTTGCATAATTATGTCATACATTTTTCCCACTTTTTGTGTGATTTTTGTTCACTAGTTTATACTTTAGTTTTGAATGAAAGCAGAACATAAACTACATGTTCTTTGATTTATTGACGTTTGAAATCAGTTATGAACCTAAGTTTATCATTTGATTAATCAAATCAAATGATAAACTGATTGTATAGAGAGATTATTATTGGTGATTGAGTGAGTACAGCAGATTTTTTTGGTGTGCTGTTGTAATGACAAGCAATTAAATCATAAGTCGTTGTAATTTTGTGTAAATAAATAGGTGATTGTAATATTTAGATAAAATTTGCAGTATCGGCGGAAAAATACTGCTGCACCGTCATTAGTTGAATGGAGAATGGCGCCGCCGCAAAAACAACCACTTGTACGAGCTCATAACAAACCTCAAGGAATCGTACGTAGAGCATCGGAAAAACGTCCGATGCCACCAATGAAAGCTTTGGCACAGTTCCGATCCACCAACTTTCATAGCTGAGGTTTTACACTTTTTTTCCTTGTATCGTGCTACCATTTTCTTTTACTATCATGAACTATTTCGTTGCATCTTCTTTTATTTTACATAGCTGCTTGATTTGTATATTCTTTATAATTTTTATTTTCCTGAATATATTTTCAGATTACAAACGTTTTTCGAGTTTGTTTGGTGAATGTTGTTTTAATAATGTCCAGTTAATTATATAGTGCTGTATATTATAATTTCCTTATAAATGGTTTTTGCTTTAGTTCATGAGTAAATTGTTACTGTCTCATTTCAGTAAAACTGCTCTCTTCTAGATTTTTTGTTGTATAAGGCAGGAAACACATCCGTCTAAACATATTTATTATCTTGAAGATTTTCTCTTTTGTTTGCAATATGTTTACAGAGATATATTATTTTGTGTAGTCAAATATTTCGGCTTTGAATTTCTTATGTTACTGTATATAATATTATGATTCAAGTCTAATATTTATTGTAATATCGAAAATTCCTGTTTATTAGGAACTTTAATTTGAAATTAACCGAATAAACTCTCAAGTGACTTTCTGAGAAATTCTCAAATGCTGAGATAACTGCATACGCTGGTAAAATTTGTTGTGATTTTATTTTTTTATTTTGCATAAGGTTATTAGTAAGTGGAAGATATTTAATAGTATGAACTATGTCTTGAACTCACTGTGAACTTTGTGATATCTTTTGTGTCTATATTCACAACTGTTCTGTAATCTTGTCATTTATATTGCTGTGTGATAACTAAAAGATTGCATCTGGAATAAGTTTGTAATAATTGTACAAAAGCTTATAGTCATTAATTAGCTGTAGATCACTAGGCGCATAAATGATAGTGGTTGGTCGAGAACAGAAATTTAATGCCTTAGCCGTAAGTATCGTTCCTTTCGTTCCTTGTTTTAATTGCTGTAAAAGATCTTATATCTTTAATTTTGTGACAGTTACTGTTGCCAGCTTTGTCTTACGTGGCTTTCGTAGCCTTCAGACCCTCTTGTTTATTTTGTGCTTCGCATGTTTATTTGGATCCTCCAAACATCTTATAAGAAAAAGTAGTGTTTATTGATTCACATGGAATGAACTTATTGTTGTTTAGTGAGGTATTTGATTAATTTATTGTTTGGTAGTGCTTGCTATCTCATCCATATTCTAATGGTGTTCAATGCTTGAAAAGAAGGCTGGTATGGAAACTGCAGAACTGGAAGTACTATTTTTCAAAAGCCAGAAGTGTATTTTTGATCTAAGAAGTGGTTCGTGTGCAAGAACACAATGAATTTTGACCCATCTAGTAGTAATTGTTTAGTTTTCTCTGTTCTATGGAAAAAAGATTTCTGCTACAGAGCAGAAGATACAGCAATCAAGCCCGGAATCATTGAAAATTTAATTCTGCTTTCTTTTGTGGACTGGTGCTGTTAAGAGCCTTTCATGTTTATGCTATTATTCGACGACATGTATTTCCTACCAGTAGTAAATATGAATTTATGAGTGCGGTACTCTTACTTTTCATTAGATAGCAATGATTTATTGTAAAAGAGTGCTGAAAATTGAAAGAGAGTGTTGAAGAAAGTTTCTTCTTATCTTTTTACTGAGTGAGTATTTGAAATGTTTGATGTTTCTATGTTTCACAATAAAAGTTCCATGAGAAACAATTTGGTTTGTGGCCAGCTGTAGATTACAAAACGCATTAATAAGAGTCAATTTCCAACCACTGCTAGCAAGTTTGCGGTTTTCGACATAGGAAAGTATGATGTAGGTGCTACGGAAATTTGATAAATTTTTGTGATAACTCTAGAAGCTCGAGTGACTTTAGCAGTCAATGCAAATGAATCAAGCTGCTTCCTCTTTTTTGTGTGCGTGAGGATGACCGTATCAAAGCAATACAAAATGCAAGGCTGTCTAACCCGGCGAAGTAATGTATTATTTGTACTCATATTAATATTTTATTGTTTATAGTGTCATAGTTGCTAAACTGTTGAACATCTTTGCTATGATGCTACATACTTGCATTTATTTGCTCGCAAGTTCTGGTCAGGCAGTATCAAAGAGCATTTCTGAATAAATGATATCACATTTTCGATTAACAGCTAGAACTTACTGAGATACTTTTTTTGATCGTATTTCCATCGAAATAATGCCGAAAAAAAAAAACGTTTAAATTGATTATTATTGGTAAAGAAGAAAATAAAAGAAGACCTCTCTCATCATGCTGTAGTACAGTATCACTGCTGGAAATTCTTAATTCTCTAATGCATTAACGTATAACTTGCATGAAAACTGATTGGTACAGTAAAACTAGTATCTTCTTCACTTCTTAGATGGACATATCATTAGAACAACATCTAATACAAATAATTGGTAGATGGAAATGAAAGGGCATTGAGAACCTAGTGATCAAGTAGGTCATGCTTTTGAAAAATTTTGGAGTGGCGAGGAAACTGCATCTTCGGCATGGTCAGATAAAAAATTCCAGGTTTTTTTCATATTTTAATTTGAAAACTTTATGATATAGCAAATCCAGTTTCCTCTGGCACTGTTTCTATCTCATGAATTTCATTGTTGATAATAACTATGAATTGAAAAGTTTCTCAAGATATCAGTTACGGAATAATTCAGAAAAATGAGTCAGTACACAATAATTGATAAGAATAAGTTGTTCGGGAAAAAGTAGTCCAGAAGGCAATTTGTCTCTTCACTTTTTGATTTTGTTATCCGTTAAATATGCGATCTTTTTCAGAAGTGTCTGAAATATCTTTAATACCATAACAAATGTCGTTTCTTCAAATTCTAATATAATTGATTATTCTATTAGTAAGGTATTTGTTTCTACATTAATACTAAGCAAAAGTGATTAAGAATTGCAGTGCTTTAAGAGAGAACTCTCATGATGAATTATCTGCGAAGGTATTGACATTCAAGTAGTATGTAAATAGGCTATTCATTTCTGATGATTACATCTATAACTACCAATTAGTGATTAAACTAATAATAAATAGTTGTAAATTTCAAATAAAAGTTAGCAAGTGGAAAGTCGCTTCTTCGTCTTTTGCAATTATGACTGTAAAGAGGGATGAAAAAAGCAATCTTCCCCCATTTTTTTCCTAAAATTGATTAATTTTACGACTTCAAATTCAGCGCTCTCCAAGATGGCAGCATTGAAAGGAAAAGATTTTTCATTCATTTTATCATTTATCATTGTGCGTTTGGCTTGCGGTAAGGTTGTTTAGTTGCTTTGATTTTTGAGAATTTCATGTGGTAACAAAAAAGCAAACTCTGATTACGACCACGATTTCACTTTTTGAGACGTAAGTAATAAAGAATACAGGATGATGCAATTGTCCTTTAAAACTTTTCTTTGCTCCAAGAGTTGCCTTCATATGTTTTTACATTTTTTACACTGAATAATCGATCCAGATGATTTCTTGCTAGTCAGTAGCACTAACAAAGTGTAAGTAAACCAATTTATCTATCCATCTAACGATCAATAGAACTAATCAGAACATTTTCTCAAAGACTGATAACCATGTCATGCGATTGATAACAGTGGGATTAATCATAATTTCAAAGATAATCACATGTTTCATTTGGCAAAATCGAATTCAACTTCTCTGTTCTTCCTCATAGTTTGCTTAAGTCTATTTATTCGCACAGATTAATTTGCTGCAAAATCAAGATATAACTTAAAAAATTTAATACTTTTTATGAAATGGAATCAACAATGCCTTCTGGACATTTTTCTATCTTAATACAGTTCAAATAAAGCAATGCTGAATTCAGTTTAATTTACCTACACATTGCAGCCCAAAATGTCATATTTCCATCTGTCCTTACATACGAAATTGAAATGAAAAATGATCAGTCAAATTCCATGACTATAATGAAATTGAAATATCAGAAGAAATTCAAACACGATCTTTATCTACCCTTCTTCAATCATTACGAAGTTGATACATTATGATTAAACATTCTGTCAAGTATTGAGAGGTAATTATTCTTCCACTACATTTAAACGATGAGTGATGTATGTTTACGAAAATATTAGTAACTTTCATTGTTGGTATTATGTAGTCGGAAATTGTTCCTCTTTGTAGTAAGTAATCAACCGATGTGTCATTCTTTAAGGATTCATTTTCCTCGTTATGAGTTGAAATTTTTTAATACTAGAAATAATCAAATTTTGACTGCACTTTTTTATGAAAATTTATGCATCAATTTAATTACCACATTGGTAGTAGTGCTAACTGAAGTTTACAGCAAATAACGACAACACATTACTTCTTCGCTGCATGTATATCCACACAGTTTAACTGTCTAGGTGATTGATATTTGAAAGAGCACTGTTGTCACTAAATCCATCTTAAATAAAGCTGTTACTCATGGAACAAAACTTTGCCAGACATACAATCCTTGACGGCATTTTATCCCGTCATTTCATATCCAGAACTGGATTTCAGACGAAAAAATATGCATAATATTCCACGACAAGACTTTCCCAAAACATAAACTAGCTTGTTCATTACTTAAATTGATTTGATTATCAATAAAGATAATTAGACTGACTTACGTTTTTCTTTTTGGTTCAATTATTCAACCTACAAACATCAGTGATACTAAAAAAGTTACACTTCCAAATCCAAACACAGTGCTGATCTCCTTATATCTGCAAGCAATTTTTTTTTACAATTTGTATACAATTAAATATTCATAAAAATTATCACGTTTTGCGTTTATAAATGGCCAATATTTATTATTGAATGTTCTAGAGTGAAAATGTGGACGAATTTTCATAAATTACAGATTAATTTAATTGCGCTTTAACCGAATCAGACGAACTGCATCGAGGAAGGTCATATTTTATATGAGCACTTCTTTTATATCATTGAATGATTATACATTTTTCCAGTTTAGCTGCAAAGGACGAATGTTTTGATGATCCAAAAAACGTTTTTCAGTCACAATAATCGATTTAAAAAGTAAGCTACATCTTTGCGGGT